TTGTTATAAAGCAGAATTGTACCTCATCGATTAACCATCGATCGCATTTTGTTTGACTTAATGTGCTTTTCATCCACTTGTTGACAGGAAATTTGCGTATGTTTCGTATTTAGTGAATCAATATCAATATTGTCATTAACATCACGCAAAGAAAAATAAATATTCTTGTTATTAATTTCAACACGTGTCTCAAAGCATTGTTATTGTATAAATCAGTATAAATAATATAAAAAGGATTCCTCTACCAACTTCAAATACATTTAATAAAGGATCAACTTCCATTACACATACCCAACATCTGACCCCGTTGCAGTGCTACAGTGCTTTTTATATGAATCACATCAGTTGTGTCCATTCATATTACACCCAATGGAATAAAAATATCTGATAGAATCCTTTAAATCATTTTAAAAAAGGCAGTTTATTCTTCTCTCTTTCTTCCTTTCTTTATTATTTTCTTTCTTTTCTTTCTTTCTTTATTATTTTCTTTCTTTATTTCGTTCCGTCAAAGATTTCTTTCTTTCTTTATTTCGTTCTTTCTTTCTTTCTTTATTTCGTTCTTTCTTTCTTTCTTTCTTTGCTATTTGCATTTCTTTATTTCTTGATTTCTTTGCACCGAGGACATTCTTTTCTTTATTATTTTCTTTCTTTATTTCGTTCTTTCTTTCTTTTCTTTACTTTTCTTTTTCCTTTGTTTCAAGATTTCTTTCTTTTTTCGTTCTTTTTTTACCATTTTCTTCCTTTCTTTACTATTTTCTTTATTTATTTATTTATTTATTTACCATTTTCTTTCTTTCTTTCTTTCTTGAACATTTTTTGTTTCTCTCTTCACCATTTTCCTTCTTTCTTTCATTAATATTTTCTCTCTTTCTTTCTTTACCATTTTCACTCCTTCTTTTTTTCTGTTTACTACTTTCTTTCTTTCTTTCTCTCTTCTTTATTTTCTTTCTTTCTTTCTCTCTTCTTTATTTTCTTTCTTTCTTTACTACTTTCTTTACTTAGATTTAATGAATATTCACATTATTACTTCAAGAAAAGACCACGTTTTTATGAATCACTTCATCTGAATCAATATCAATATATGGCCGAGTATTGTCATGAAGTAGAATTGAACATTGTCGATTAACCAGCATCTATCGCATTTTGCTTGACGAAATGCGCATTTCATCCATTTGTAGGCAGGATATTCACCTATGTTTATTGGTGAATCCATTTACCACAGGATCGGTTAAATGACTCTCGACATTTGCATAGCCTATTTTCAGCATTGCCATGGACTCAGATATGTACTTGAACCCGTACCGCGTCAATACGGACGCCGCAATTTGCACTGCACACCTAAATGACCTCAGATAGTACTTCGGAATGTACTTTGTCGAACGCTTACAAGTGCTGAGTAAAAATAAAACAATCGTTTCTTCGTTTCTTTTTCTCTTTCCTCCCCCCTGTAATATTGATAGGTACGAACCTTCATCTACAATGTCATCATGTAAAAATAGCATTTATTTTGCATAAGTACTATTTAATTTTCATCACAATCCTTTCCTTGTCAATGCACTTAATACCGTGATGAATATTAATCGCACAGACCAAAAGGTTTGCGTCCTGGCTAAGACGATAAACTACATCCAGCAGCAAGGCCTTTGATCATTGAACGTCTGCAGTGTCATCCTGGTAACATGTGGCCGAGCATTTTCATGAAGCAGAACTGGGCCTCCTCGATTAACCAGTACGGGTCATGTTTTGTTTAACTGAATGCACATTTCATCCAGTAAATTTCGGCAGTGATGCTCTGGTTAGATTCCAGAAAAGATAAGGCCAATGGTAGGCCACCAGACAGTCGTCATAATCTTCTGTTTGAGCAATTTCAGTTTTGAAAACTGTTTGAGGGTTTCGTCCTGATGACATCATGGATCCGATTTTTTATTATGTTCATAAACCAGGGGTCACCAAACTACGGCCCGAGGACCGGATCTGACCCCAACACCAGTTCATCCAGTCTACCGATTCACTGTGCTACAAATGAGATAAAATATAATTATTTATTTTGAATTATCAATAGATTGTTGCTAAACTATGTAGAAAAATAAATGTAAGTAAAAATAGCATTTATTTTGCATAAGTACTATTTAATTTTCATCAGAATCTTTTCTTTGTCAATGCACTTAATACCATGATGAATATTAATCGCGCAGACCAAAAGGTTTACAGCAGAAAGAAAAAAGAAGGAAAGAAAGAAAATGGTAAATAAATATAGAAAGAAAGAAAATAGTAAAGAAAGAAAGAAAGAAAGAAAGAAAGAAAAATAGTAAATAAAGAAAAAGAGAAAATGGTAAAGTAAGAAAATGGAGAAAAAGAAAGAAAGAAAGAAAAAAGAGAGAGAGAAAATGGTAAAGTAACAAAAAAAGAGAGAAAATGGAGAAGAAAGAAAGATAGTAAATGGTAAAGAAAGAATGAAATAAAGAAGATGGCAAAAAAGAAAGAAAGAACGAGCGAAAATAATAAAGAAAGAAAGAAAAAGAAAGAAAAAGAAAGAAAATGGTAAATAAAGAATAAAAATAGTAAAGAAAGAAAGAAAAAGAAAAAATGACAAAGAATGAATGACATAAAGAAAGAAAATGGTAAAGAAAGAAAGAAAGAAAGAAAGAAAATAGTAAAGAAATAAATAAAAAAGAAAATAGTAAAGAATGATAGAAACTGGTAAAGGAAAGAAGAAATAAAATGGTTAAGAAACAAAGAAAAAAGAAAGAGAGAAAATGGTAAAGGAAGAAAGAAAGAAAATAGTAAATGAAGAACGAAATAAAAAAAAGTAAAAAAAGAAAATTTAAAGAAAGAAAAGAAAAAAAAAAAAAATCCTGGCAAAAGAAAGAAAGAAAGAAAATGGCAAAAAGAAAGAAAATAGTAAAGAAAGAAAGAAAGAAAATGGCAAAAGAAAGAAAGAAAGAAAAATAGTAAAGAAAGAAGGAAAGAAAATGGAAAAGAAAGAAAGAAAATAGTAAATAAAGAAAGAAAAAATAGTAAAAGAAAGAAAAGAAAGAAAAATGGCAAAAAAGAAAAAGAAAAAATAATAAAATTAAAGAAAGAAAGAAAAAGTGAAAGAAAGAAAGAAAATAGTAAAGAAAGAAAGAAAGAAAATGGTAAAGAAAGAAAGAAAGAAAGAAAATGGCAAAAAAAAGAAAGAAAATAGTAAAGAAAGAAAGAAAGAAAAAAGAAAATAGTAAAGAAAGAAAGAAAGAAAGAAAATAGTAAAGAAAGAAAGAAAGAAAATGACAAAGAAAGAAAGAAAATAGTAAAGAAAGAAAGAAAGAAAGAAAGAAAGAAAGAAAGAAAATAGTAAAGAAAGAAAGAAATAAAGAAAGAAAGAAAGAAAATGGCAAAGAAAGAAAGAAAATAGTAAAGAAAGAAAGAAAGAAAATAGTAAAGAAAGAAAGAAAGGAAATAGTAAAGAAAGAAAGAAAGAAAGAAAATGGCAAAGAAAGAAAGAAAATAGTAAAAAGAAAGAAAGAAAGAAAATAGTAAAGAAAGAAAGAAAGAAAATAGTAAAGAAAGAAAGAAAGAAAGAAAATGGCAAAGAAAGAAAGAAAATAGTAAAGAAAGAAAGAAAGAAAATAGTAAAGAAAGAAAGAAAGAAAATAGTAAAGAAAGAAAGAAAGAAAGAAAATGGCAAAGAAAGAAAGAAAATAGTAAAGAAAGAAAGAAAGAAAATGGCAAAGAAAGAAAGAAAGAAAATAGTAAAGAAAGAAGGAAAGAAAATGGAAAAGAAAGAAAGAAAATAGTAAAGAAAGAAAGAAAAAAATAGTAAAGAAAGAAAGAAAGAAAATGGCAAAGAAAGAAAGAAAATAGTAAAGAAAGAAAGAAAGAAAGAAAGAAAGAAAATAGTAAAGAAAGAAAGAAAGAAAGAAAATGACAAAGAAAGAAAGAAAATAGTAAAGAAAGAAAGAAAGAAAGAAAATAGTAAAGAAAGAAAGAAATAAAGAAAGAAAGAAAGAAAATGGCAAAGAAAGAAAGAAAATAGGAAAGAAAGAAAGAAAGAAAATAGTAAAGAAAGAAAGAAAATAGTAAAGAAAGAAAGAAAAAAAGAAAGAAAGAAAGAAAATGGCAAAGAAAGAAAGAAAATAGTAAAGAAAGAAAAAAAGAAAATGGCAAAAAAAGAAAGAAAATAGTAAAGAAAGAAAGAAAGAAAATGGCAAAGAAAGAAAGAAAATAGTAAAGAAGGAAAGAAAGAAAGAAAATGGCAAAGAAAGAAAGAAAATAGTAAAGAAAGAAAGAAAGAAAGAAAATAGTAAAGAAAGAAAGAAAGAAAATGGCAAAGAAAGAAAGAAAATAGTAAAGAAAGAAAGAAAGAAAGAAAATAGTAAAGAAAGAAAGAAAGAAAGAAAAAAGTAAAGAAAGAAAAGAAAGAAAAATGGCAAAGAAAGAAAGAAAAATAGTAAAGAAAGAAAGAAAGAAAATAGTAAAAAAAGAAAGAAAGAAAGAAAAATGGCAAAGAAAGAAAGAAAAAGAAAAGAAAGAAAAAGAAAGAAAATAGTAAAGAAAGAAAGAAAATAAAAAGAAAGAAAGAAAAAAGAAAGAAAGAAAAAAATGGCAAAGAAAATGAAAGAAAAATAGTAAAGAAAAAAAAAAGAAAATGGCAAAAAAAAGAAAAAAGAAAAGAAAGAAAGAAAGAAATGGCAAAAGAAAAAAAGAAAAATAGTAAAGAAGGAAAGAAAGAAAGAAAAAAGAAAAGAAAGAAAAAAAAGGGAAAGAAAGAAAGAAAGAAAGAAAATAGTAAAGAAAGAAAGAAAGAAAATGGCAAAGAAAGAAAGAAAATAGTAAAGAAAGAAAGAAAGAAAGAAAATAGTAAAGAAAGAAAGAAAGAAAGAAAATAGTAAAGAAAGAAAGAAAGAAAATGGCAAAGAAAGAAAGAAAATAGTAAAGAAAGAAAAGAAAGAAAAGAAAATAGTAAAGAAAGAAAGAAAGAAAGAAAATGGCAAAAAAGAAAGAAAAAAGTAAAGAAAATTTTAAAGAAAATAGTAAAAAAGAAAGAAAATAAAAAGAAAGAAAAAAAAAAGAAAGAAAGAAAGAAAATGGCAAAGAAAGAAAAAAATAGTAAAGAAAGAAAAAAGAAAAAAAGCAAAAAAAGAAAGAAAAAAGTAAAGAAAGAAAGAAAAAAATGGCAAAAAGAAAGAAAGAAAATAGTAAAGAAAAAGAAAGAAAGAAAATGGCAAAGAAAGAAAGAAAATAGTAAAGAAAGAAAGAAAGAAAGAAAATAAAAGAAAGAAAGAAAGAAAGAAAATAGTAAAGAAAGAAAGAAAGAAAGAAAAATAGTAAAGAAAGAAAGAAAGAAAGAAATGGCAAAAGAAAGAAAGAAAAATAGTAAAGAAAAAAGAAAAAGAAAGAAAATAGTAAAAGAAAGAAAAGAAAGAAAGAAAAATGGCAAAGAAAGAAAGAAAATAGTAAAGAAAGAAAGAAAGAAAATAGTAAAGAAAAAAAAAGAAAGAAAGAAAAGTAAAAGAAAGAAAGAAAATGGCAAATAAAAAAGAAAAATAGTAAAGAAAGAAAGAAAGAAAGAAAAAATGGCAAAAGAAAGAAAGAAAATAGTAAAGAAAGAAAGAAAGAAAGAAAAATAGTAAAGAAAAGAAAGAAAGAAAGAAAAATAGTAAAAGAAAGAAAGAAAAGAAAGAAAAATGGCAAAAGAAAGAAAGAAAATAGTAAAGAAAGAAAGAAAGAAAAAAATAGAAAGAAAGAAAGAAAGAAAATAGTAAAGAAAGAAAGAAAGAAAATGGCAAAGAAAGAAAGAAAATAGTAAAGAAAGAAAGAAAGAAAATAGTAAAGAAAGAAAGAATGAAAATGGCAAAGAAAGAAAGAAAATAGTAAAGAAAGAAAGAAAGAAAATGGCAAAAGAAAGAAAGAAAATAGAAAGAAAGAAAGAAAAGAAAGAAAATAGAAAGAAAGAAAGAAAGAAAAATGGCAAAGAAAGAAAGAAAATAGTAAAGAAAGAAAGAAAGAAAGAAAATAGTAAAGAAAGAAAGAAAGAAAATGGCAAATAAAAGAAAGAAAATAATAAAGAAAGAAAGAAAGAAAGAAAATGACAAAGAAAGAAAGAAAATAGTAAAGAAAGAAAGAAAGAAAGAAAGAAAATGGCAAAGAAAGAAAGAAAATAGTAAAGAAAGAAAGAAAGAAAGAAAGAAAATAGTAAAGAAAGAAAGAAAGAAAGAAAGAAAATAGTAAAGAAAGAAAGAAAGAAAGAAAATGGCAAAGAAAGAAAGAAAATAGTAAAGAAAGAAAGAAAGAAAATGGCAAAGAAAGAAAGAAAATAGTAAAGAAAGAAAGAAAGAAAGAAAATAGTAAAGAAAGAAAGAAAGAAAGAAAGAAAATGGCAAAGAAAGAAAGAAAATAGTAAAGAAAGAAAGAAAGAAAGAAAGAAAATAGTAAAGAAAGAAAGAAAGAAAGAAAATGGCAAAGAAAGAAAGAAAATAGTAAAGAAAGAAAGAAAGAAAGAAAATGGCAAAGAAAGAAAGAAAATGGCAAAGAAAGAAAGAAAATAGTAAAGAAAGAAAGAAAGAAAATAGTAAAGAAAGAAAGAAAGAAAGAAAATGGCAAAGAAAGAAAGAAAATATTAAAGAAAGAAAGAAAAAAAGAAAGAAAGAAAATGGCAAAGAAAGAAAGAAAATGGCAAAGAAAGAAAGAAAATAGTTAAGAAAGAAAGAAAGAAAGAAAATAGTAAAAGAAAGAAAAGAAAGAAAGAAAGAAAATAAAAGAAAAAGAAAGAAAGAAAAAAAAAATAGTAAAGAAAGAAAGAAAGAAAGAAAGAAAATAGTAAAGAAAGAAAGAAAGAAAGAAAATGGCAAAGAAAGAAAGAAAATAGTAAAGAAAGAAAAAAAGAAAATAGTAAAGAAAGAAAGAAATAAAGAAAGAAAGAAATAAAATGGCAAAGAAAGAAAGAAAATAGTAAAGAAAGAAAGAAAGAAAGAAAATAGTAAAGAAAGAAAGAAAGAAAGAAAATAGTAAAGAAAGAAAGAAAGAAAGAAAATAGTAAAGAAAGAAAGAAAGAAAGAAAGAAAGAAAATGGCAAAGAAAGAAAGAAAATAGTAAAGAAAGAAAGAAAGAAAATAGTAAAGAAAGAAAGAAAGAAAATGGCAAAGAAAGAAAGAAAATAGTAAAGAAAGTGTTGAAACTTAAATAAGCATGGAATAATACAACACAAAATGTACGTTAACAAAATGTATTGAAACAAAGAATAGGTACACAATATTTACAGTTAGTTTGGTATATTCTTGGGAAGACTGTTCCTGCATAATGGGTTGACTAAATCGCAGTCGGGAAGAGTCTCTGGATTCAATTTCTTAATCTCTACTATCTTCCCCGTCTTCCGGTACCAACCCATATTTATATGGTCGGTAGTCCGCTTATGTAAATTAGGTGTATCATACACAACAGAAAGAAAGAAAGAAAGAAAGAAAGAAAATGGCAAAGAAAGAAAGAAAATAGTAAAGAAAGAAAGAAAGAAAGAAAATTGCAAAGAAAGAAAGAAAATAGTAAAGAAAGAAAATAGTAAAGAAAGAAAGAAAGAAAGAAAATTGCAAAGAAAGAAAGAAAATAGTAAAGAAAGAAAGAAAATAGTAAAGAAAGAAAGAAAGAAAATAGTAAAGAAAGAAAGAAAGAAAATGGCAAAGAAAGAAAGAAAATAGTAAAGAAAGAAAGAAAGAAAGAAAGAAAGAAAATGGCAAAGAAAGAAAGAAAATAGTAAAGAAAGAAAGAAAGAAAGAAAATAGTAAAGAAAGAAAGAAAGAAAGAAAATTGCAAAGAAAGAAAGAAAATAGTAAAGAAAGAAAGAAAGAAAGAAAATAGTAAAGAAAGAAAGAAAGAAAGAAAATGGCAAAGAAAGAAAGAAAATAGTAAAGAAAGAAAGAAAGAAAGAAAATTGCAAAGAAAGAAAGAAAATAGTAAAGAAAGAAAGAAAATAGTAAAGAAAGAAAGAAAGAAAGAAAGAAAGAAAATGGCAAAGAAAGAAAGAAAATAGTAAAGAAAGAAAGAAAGAAAGAAAATAGTAAAGAAAGAAAGAAAGAAAGAAAGAAAATGGCAAAGAAAGAAAGAAAATAGTAAAGAAAGAAAGAAAGAAAATAGTAAAGAAAGAAAGAAATAAAGAAAGAAAGAAAGGAAATGGCAAAGAAAGAAAGAAAATAGTAAAGAAAGAAAGAAAGAAAGAAAATAGTAAAGAAAGAAAGAAAGAAAATGGCAAAGAAAGAAAGAAAATAGTAAAGAAAGAAAGAAAGAAAATGGCAAAGAAAGAAAGAAAGAAAATATTAAAGAAAGAAAGAAAGAAAGAAAATGGCAAAGAAAGAAAGAAAATAGTAAAGAAAGAAAGAAAGAAAGAAAATAGTAAAGAAGGAAAGAAAGAAAGAAAATAGTAAAGAAAGAAAGAAAGAAAGAAAATAGTAAAGAAAGAAAGAAAGAAAGAAAGAAAATGGCAAAGAAAGAAAGAAAATAGTAAAGAAAAATGTGGAAAAATGGTAAAGAAAGAGGGAGAGAAAATAGTAAGGAAGGAAGGAAGGAAGAAAGAAAGAAAAAAATAGTAAAGAAAGAAAGAAAAAAGAAAATGATAAAGAAAGAAAGAAACGAGTAAACAAAAAGAAAATGGAGTATAACAAAGTATATGATGAAGAAAGTCAAAGAAAAAAACCTGGAAAACTCCATCTTTGAGAATTTGTTTATTATTCCATGTAAAGCGAAAAAAAATGGTTAGATTAGAAAATTCTTATCTTATCTTTCTTATTCCCCAATAATAAAATTCCTCGGAGACCCATTCTATCTTCCAACTTCCGTATCTGTTATCGCCAGCCAAGATAACTTATTTAACAGCATCCAAGTATTATTATCTTCATCCAATCCAACGATTCAATGCAAATATTTATCAGTGAAACTTTCCGATCGTCTCCACCCTTTGTACCTGAAGGTCTTTGCTTTATCGCTAGATTCGTTTCTCTACGCATAAGCAATAAATCTAATAAGTAAAGTGGACAACGATGAAGTACTGAAGGAAAAGGCCTCTTCAAAATAATTTTATAAACAGGCGCATGAAGAACGATCGTGGATTGAGAGATAAATATGGACACCAATTCTATCAAACGAGTTTTAGACCAAATAGAATGAAGAAACTGATATCAAAATGAAGTAAATTTATTTCTTTTCAACACTATGATGATAAGTAAGGTTTTCAATCCGATAAAAAAAAAATTAAGCCAAAAAGAAGAATGAAGCTAGTAACAAAACGAAGTATATTTATTTCATTTCATCATTATGAAGGTTGATTGATAAATAAGTTCTTAAATCTTATAAAGCCGGCTTTAGACCAGATAAGAATGAAATTGGTATCAAAATGAAGTAAATTTATATCTTTTCAAAATTACCAGCGTTAAATAATAAGTAAGGTCTCCAATATCATAAAACATTTCCCGGCTGAGTATCCTTTTTGCGAAATTTCAAAATCCGAAAACCTCTAAAATCCGAATTTTTTTATGTGCTGACATGACTTGCCACAAATGGAAAATTTCAGAAAGCACTGGGTAGCTACCTAGGCAGTGTGCAGCTGTTGTAAGTGACTCTCATCTCCACTGGGTGAGGGTTCTCCAGCCCAGCTACATAGCCTACGTTTGCGCCAGTTTTTTTGTTTGCGATCGTCACAGCTACATCTTCATCCGGGGATTACTTACCAGGTGTTTCGTACTCAGTAAAGATATTATTCAAAATGTCCTGCATTTTTAGTTTTTGTAAGTAGTGATCATGTTTTTCGCACACGTAGGTTGCACGGTTGAGTAATGGATAGCGGCTCGGATTGAGGAATCGGAGAGCCGAGTTCGAATTCCAGTCGAATCTATTACATTCACTTATGTGCTAATATCCCTGGGAAAGACATGAATTCTCTCCCCCCCCCCCCACAGTTGTGGGTAAGTAGCAGAATAGACCGGGTTCTATAGCCTTGGATGGCAAATGCTCTATTGCAGAAAAAATCTGCCTCGTCAGTCATGTATCAAAAGATACATGATCACCTAAGTGTGTATCACACATGGCACTGACATTAATTTCACCATTTAAAAAACTCTGTGTATGTACACAAAATTGATTAAATTTTAAATAAAACTACTTTCATGGTAAAAGTTATTTATATAAAACTACTTTCAGGATATATGTATCGGCTGTATTTTGAAATGTAAACAGATATCATCTTTATGTTTGGATTATATTCCCAAGCTGCTACATTTTATAGATGCTATATATAGAAATGAAATAACCTGTATTCCAAAATCCGAAAAAAAATCTGAAAACCGAAGTATTTCCGGTCCCAAGAATTTCCAATAAAGGATCTCAACCTGTAACATTAAATTTAGTGCGAACCTGTTTCAGTTGACATCTGTTTCGTAAGCAGTGAAATAAATATGTCTAGGCCTCGAAATTGAGATATCTTACTAAATTAAAGATGCACCCAGATAGGAATCGAACTTGCATTCCATTTTTTAATCAGGGAAATCACTTTTCAGCCTTACCAATATAATGGTTTAATTGGTAAAGCAGAAATGTCCTTACAAATGATATGAATTCACATTGTCTCCAAAGAGCTATCGGTTCAATAGAAAAATAGATTAAGTTCTTTAGAATTGGTTGGCAACAAATCTGGTCAATTTAAAGCGAAAAACATTAACAGTCTGCGAATAAAATTGAACTAAGAGAAAGAAACAGGGAAGACTGATACCTTACCGAATTTTCCTTTTTACACTCACAGAGATGCCATCGAGATAGTCCCTTTCTGTCCAAGTTACTTTTTTAGTTTTCATTACATTTAACTGTAATCAGAATCCATGTTTTGTTTTTATGTAAATCCTCTACCTGTATGTATTGTAAGATTTTTAATCAAATCACGATATCGTTGGTAGAAGACTGATAGCTTATCGAATTTTCCTTCTCACATTCACAATGATGCCATTCATGATGTATCCCCCCACCAGTTTCTCACACCTGATGTAAAAGTAATGTTTGGTGTTACATTTATATATATTTTTGTAAATAGTGATCATGTCTTTTGTACATGTGCAGAAAATATAAAACATTATTTTTACATGAAATCACAACTTAAAAATATATGTGAGCATTACATGACTAGCGTCATTGCCTGTATATAAAGTTGATTAAATTCTATATAAAACTACGTTCAGGATATATGTATAACCTGTATTTTGAAATGCAAAGAGATATCGTGCTTATGCTTGGGTTCTATTCTCAAGCTGCTCCATTTTATAGATGCTATATACAAATTATAATAACCTGTATTCCAAAATCCGAAAAAATCTGAAAACCGAAGCACTTCCGGTCCCAAGAATTTCGGATAAAGAATTATCAATCTGTGTCAGACCAGATTAAACTGGTATTCAAATGAAACAAATATAATTCCCTTCAAATCTACGTAGGTTGGTTGGTAAGTAAAGTTTGTGTAAAAATTTCAGATAGATTATATCTGTAAAAGGACAATATGAATAAAGACAAAAAGAAAACTTATCTTAGCCGACATGTTTCGTCCTCTAAGGGACTTTATCAAGAAACGTGCGCATTTTATTTAGTAACAAGTATCTATATACAAGAGCAAAAATGTTATTGGTTTAGCCAAATTTTAAGAACATCATTTAATTACTTTCATTTATTAGACATTGAATTATGTCCACTTCGCGTCTTCCATAGCTTGCCTAACTTTTCGGCTAACTTGATGAATATTTATGAGCGTTCTTAAATTTAAAAAAATTGGAAAAACTAATAACATTTTTGCACTCGTATAGGAATTCCTTGTTACTAAATAAAATCTTTGCATTTGTCTTGATAAAGTCCCTCAGAGGACGAAACGCGTCGGCTAAGATAAGTTTTCCTTTTGTCTATCGAAAAGGTTTCCAATTCTATAAAACGAATTTTAAACCAGATGGGATTATGAAACTGGTATCAACATTTAATAGAAAGGACAATAAAAGAAAGCAATTAAGGTGACAGAAGATGCCATTGCATTTAAGTTTTTGAAGATCAAAGTTGATTGGAAAGAGACACGACGACGTGGTTCAGTGAGTTCGCTGCTCACTGTGTGCTCCATACTTTCGGCCTTGTGTCACATTTAAGATACATTTAGAAAATCGCCAAAGTTGATTGGAAAACAAGTTTCACAAGTAAGAAGTGCGAGAAAATAAACATGTTAAAACCTATAACAACATCTAGCAATTTCGAGTGACAGAACTAATTTCAACTCGGAACTAATTTCGACTCGGAATTAATTTCACCTCGGAACTGATTTCGACTCGGAATTAATTCCACCTTGGGACTAATTTCAACTCGGAATTAATTCTAACGCGGAACTAATTTCGACTCGGAACTAATTTCCATTTGGAATTAATTCCAACGAGAAACTAATTTCAACTTGGAATTAATTTCACCTTGGGACTAATTTTGACTCGGAATTAATTTCACCTCGGAACTAATTTCGACTCGGAATTATTTTCAACTTGGAATTAATTTCACCTCGGAACTAATTTCGACTCGGAATTAATTTCAAATCGGAATTAATTTCAACTCGAAAATAATTTTGACTCGGAATTAATTTCAACTCAGAAGTAATTTCACCTCACAACTAATTTCAACTCGGAATTAATTTCACCTCGGTTCTAATTTAGCTCGGAATTAATTTCACCTTGGAACTAATTTCAACTCGGAATTAATTTCCCCTCGGAACTAATTTCAACTGGATCTAAAAGTTATCAATTTAAGTTAAGTCAATTTTAAGTTATGAATTTCCGCGAATTTCTAAACAAAATGCAATGAGTCGGTCTTAATTTTTTAATTTAACATTAAAAATCCTTAGTAGCTAAGATAAAGAATTCATATTTTCTGCTACTTTCATGTTTTGTTTTTGTTGCAAATGCATAAAGTGGTACTTTTTTATATTTTCTTTTACTCGTTTAAATCTGATCAAATAAAAAGGCAATTTTCTTTGTAGCAAGAACAGCAGATTACTTAACTGCTTTTTTTTTAAATTATCGTTCAAAAGAAGGCGTTATTGATCAAAATTTAAGAAAATCAATAAATTAAATTTTAATTTCGTTCGAAAACTTCACAGATTTATTGAAATTTAAATCTGTGTACTGAGAATTTCACAGATTTCACGTTCATAAAAAAAGAACTCTATTAAAAATTACAATGTAAAAAACTTAGTTGAAATTAGTTCCGAGTAGAAGTTAATTCTGCACCCCGCAATTTCAAGTGCAAAAGGATGAGATTGAGCTGCCAAATTCGTAGTACACTTAAATTCACGCGGTCAAGGTACTAAGGAAGAAAGCTTATTCGTGCAATTGCTACGAAGATATTTATAGAAACGTCTGGGAAGTCACGTTAGGGCGGTTGAAAAGGGGAAGAAGCCGAGATGCCATGTCAGAACCGATCACATTGCAGACTCTTCCTTGGATTTTGTCGAGAATCTCGAGATACATGTGGCAGCAATATTCAATGCACAGAAGAATGATAGATTTATAAACGTGCAGGATGGATTCTGGCAAGAAACAATGTCGATAACGACACAGGGAAGACAGCTTTCCTAGCAGCAGATACATCAATTGATTCAATATGATCATTCCACTTCATGCCAGTGGAAAACGTGAAACAAAGAAGGCACA